TTTTTTTTTCAATTGAAAATATTAAATAAAATAACTAAAGAATAAATCTATTCAACCTATTTATATATCTTCAGCTATAGTCCCACCCAATTATCTATATTTTGAATTCTAAAATTATAAAAAAAAAATTCTGTTAACTGTAACAAACAAAAAATGGGGTGATGGGGAAAAAAAGAGTCCCCATCCCGGAAAAGTATATGTAGTGAATCCTTCTATCTTGTCTTTTTTCTAGTTTAGGGTTTAGGGTTCCCTGAGCTTTGCCCTGCATCTCGCGTATAACTACCCTTACACTACTCCCCCCCTCCCAAGTCATTCACTTGTGAATGATGAAGGGAAGATGGGAAGTGTATGGATAATAAGAATGTGTGGCATTGAGTCGCATTGTGGTTGTGACTAAGTAGGGTGACGTATTCTTTGTGGCCGTAGGCGAGATAGCGTTGGCAACACAAAGTCAATATGGTAGAGGCCGAAGTTAATTTGAGACTCGGGCCGGAGCCGAAGTGAAATGGGTGACTTGAGGTCGCTATGGCTGAAGCGAGATAAACCTGGGGACACGCGGTCATTGTGGCTAGAGCCAAGGTAAAATTAGTGACTTGGGGTCATTATGGCCAAAGCCGAGATAAACATTGGTGACACGAGGTCACTATGGCCGGAGCCGAGATAAAAATTGGTGACACGGGGTCACTATGGTTAGAGCGGAGATAAAAGTGGTGACACAGGGTCACTACGGCCGGAGCCGAGATAAAAATTGGTGACACGGGGTCACTACGGCTGGAGCCGAGATAAAAGTGGTGACAAGAGGTCACTAGGGCCGGGGCCGAGATAAAAATGGTGACGCGAGGTCACTATGGCCGAGGCCAAGATAAACATTGGTGACGTGAGGTCACTATGGCCGGAGCCGAGATAAAAGTGGTGACACGGGGTCATTATGGCTGGGGCCGAGATAAAAATTGGTGACACGAGGTCACTATGGCCGAAGTCAAGATAAAAGTGGTGACACGAGGTCACTATGGCCAGAGCCAAGATAAAAGTGGTGACGCGAGGTCACTATGGCCGGGGCTGAGATAAACATTGGTGACGCGAGGTCACTATGGCCGGGGCCGAGATAAACATTGGTGACGCGAGGTCACTATGGCCGGGGCCGAGATAAACATTGGTGACGCAAGGTCACTATGGCCGGAGCCGAGATAAAAATTGGTGACACGGGGTCACTATGGTCGGGGCCAAGATAAAATTAATGACTTGACAGTTTTCATGAGCATACAGGTGAAGGGGTTTACAATGGGCCTAAAATGGACCTATTTATGGAATGCCAAAGCCGGTTAATGCAGCAGACGACAGTTGTCATGGAAGAACGTGCAGTAATAAATATCGTCTGCAAAAAGTAACCGTCACATTCGAAGGGATGCGATGATAAATTAAACGGCGAATTTGAAAGGGCATGGTTGTGACGGTTTAATGAAATTAATCGTGACCATCAAGATGTGTTTTTGCCGTGATATATATATCCATAGTTAGAAAAATCCAACTCATTTTGCTGTTAACTTTGCGAAAAGTCACTGGTTTGCCTGCATTCGACATTGTTCGTTCGTTGTCAGCAGAAACCAAGTAATTTGTGAGCGTCTTAGCGTCTTCTTTCTACCTTTCTTTGTTGTGAGAATGTCTTTTGAAAGACGATTAGTGATGACAGAGTGAGGGGGAGGGTTGAGGAGATAGAGGGTAGGGATTTGGGCGTGCCGTTGAATATTTTGGAGAGAGAGGATGAAAGAAAGGAGTGTTTCAACCCTGAGGAAGAGATTGTTGGTGAGGTGATGGGGTATGAAACATCTTTGGAAAATAGGGGTGGTTTGGCCCACTTAGTTGAGAACTACGGGGTGCTTGGGCGTGTGTTGGTGAGGCCAGCGGGGAAGAGAGAGAGGGCGTGCTCGGCTCCGGGGGACCATTGGATGCCCCTGTACTCCCATTATCTGGTGGCTGGGTTGCGATTCCCCATCCTAGATCTATTGGTGTGGTTGTTGTTGAAGTACTGTTTGGGGTTAACGCAACTCACCCCCAATGCTGTGAGGTTAGTAGTGGCCTTTGCAGTGTACAGTTGAAGTTGGGGGGTGGTGTTTCCAACCGCTAGTGTATTCAAGTACTTTTATGTCTTGAATGTTGGGAGTGGTAAGGAGAAGGGGTGGTACTATTTTACGGGTCGGGTGGTTAATAAACAAAGAAATGGTTTGTTTAGCGCTGGGCCATCTTCCATCAAAGGATGGAAAGGTAAATTCTTTTTTGTGGATGACACGGAGTGGGATAAGACTGATGTTGAGGTGGAACACTTGAGCCGCTGGAAGGCGACAGGGTTAAACCTTAATGAGTATAGCCTGATCCCGGGGGAGTTAGAGGATGTGAGGATGTTGGAGAGGGGGGGGGAGAGCCGGTTGGATGTTATGGAGTATACGAGCCAGAGGATGTTAGACGCGGCTGAGATATATGGGCCGATCTCATAGAGTGGAGGTGTGTAACTTTAATTGTTTGTTTAGTTGGAGAGTCCTGATTAGAGTTTTAACCTTGTTTTGTTTTGCAGAAGAGATGAACAAGTTTTTGGAGGCAGCCGGTAGGGTTGGCATCCTTAAGAAGGGAAGAGGGAAGAGGGCCGAGGTCAGAAGGCGGGTTGAGGAGGTTTAGCTACCTCAGGCTGAAGTGCAAAACTTAGTCGTTTCTTAGCCTAGCAATATTGGGGATGAAGTGACGGTTGTTGAGGAGGGGCCTATTATTGCAAAAAGGAAGAGGATGGAGCAACAAGAGGTTGTGAAGGAGGTACCAGAGCCTATGACTTCATCCCTCCGTATAGAGGGGACTTCTTCAGCCACAACTGTTGAGTTCGCGGCTGCGCTTTGGGAGCAAGGGTATATCTGCGTGCAAACAACGAGCTTCTATGACTCCTGGATGAGGAGCATAGCAAAAAGGTTCATCAATGCGTGGATAGCCAGCGTGCGAAGGATGAGGTGGTGGCTAGAGGTTCAGTTGGCGTTATATGTCAGGCGCTTGAGGTATGATACTTTCATCTTGTTTAAAGCTTGAGGAGGGGAATCTTGTCAACTGTTTGATGAGTTAGGGTTATTCTATTGTATAGGCTGTGAACCTTATGAATGCTTTAGCTAATGAGCATCACGAGAGTTTAAAGGAGAGGAATCAGATGAGGAAGGATAATGCCAAGCTCATCAAGAAGAATGAGGAGGCCGAGGCAGAGGTGGCAAAGCTAAAGGCGGAGATGGAGGAACTCCGAAAGGAGAATGCCACTCTAAAGAAGGACTCGGAGCTCTCGTACCAAAATAGGAAGATCTGTGAGGACGAGCTCGAGAAGAGGGAAAAAGAGTTAGAGGAGGTGGCGAAGGCAGCAGTTGAGTTGGAGCTTAAGGTTCACAACTCTATTGAAGAGCTTGTGGAGGGGTTTCTGAAGTCCAGCACATTTGAGGATATCGTCAACCTCTACCGGCTCCCTACTGCAATTGTGGCCTTCTCTGACTGCCGGAAGAAGGTAAAGTTGCAGTATCCTGATGTGGATGTGATGAAGATCATGTTTGGAGATTAGGAGAGGGAAGTGGAGGAAAATGGGGATAGTAGTACTGTTGATTTCCGTCCCGAAGTTACACTGAAGTGGGATAGGGACAATAGAGGTCAAACCATTTTGCCTCCGAAGTTTAGTTTTGAGTTCGTGGCAGTGGGTGACGACGGATCCGAAGGTGCTGACAACCTAGACCAGCCTGTTGACTAAACTTCGCATTTTTTTTAAGGAGAAATTGTTTGTAAACGATTAGAGTTTCATTTAATAAATTCAGTTTGATACTTGTGTTTATTGCTTTTTGTGATGATCTGAACTGGGAGAGGTTAAAATGACTTGCTAATGTAACCGAGGTTGGAGAAATGAAATTGACTTCATCTTTAATTGTATTTGAACATTAGTTGTTACAAAAAGATGCCTAACACAGAGAGTAAAGTGAGGAACTTTCAAGGGTGGAATTTCTTAAGGTTGTTAACATTCCAAACCCTAGGCATTTTTTTGCCTTCAGCATCTTGGAGTATGTATGCACTGGGGTGTGAGATCTCGGTTACAAGGTAATGGCCTTCCCAATTTAGTGCTAGCTTGCCGTAGCGAGTCTCGAACCTTGTGAGCTCGGCCTTTCTAAGGACTAGGTCACCAACTCTGAAGTTTCGAGGTCGAATCCGTTTATCGTAAAGGCTGGCTATTCTTTGTTTGTACGCAAGCGTCTGAAGTCAGGATTGTTCTCAGACTTCGTCTAGGAAATCAAGGTTTTCTCTTAGTAAACGCTCGTTTTGAGTGGGTTCAAAACGGCTGACCCTTAGGCTCGGGACACCAATTTCGACAGTAATAACTGTCTCGGTGCCAAAGGCCAAGTGATAGGGCGATTCGCCTATTTGTAGGAGACTATGATTTTAGGATTTGCTTTAAAGGGAAATTTATAATGGTGAATAAAGTAATGAAAGAGGGAATTAAAGTGAGGGACATACCTGTGGCAGTTCGACTTGTTGCCCGGTAAGCCCACAGGACGTTGTTGAGTTCATCTAGCCATTTTGTTTTCAGCTGATCTAACCTTGGCTTGATCCCCTCCAAGATGGCTTTGTTAACTGATTCAACCATTCCATTGGCCTCGGGATGATAAACAGAAGTGAAGACCAATTTAATCCCATAGTTGGAGCAGAAATCCTTGAAGGAGTTACAATTGAATTGGGGACCGTTATCAGCAATAACCTGGTTCGGTATCCCGTATCTGTAGATGACTGAGCTAAAGAGAAAGTCTTCAATTCTTCTTCAAATCAAACAAGAGAGAGGTCGGGCTTCTACCCACTTAGTGAAGTAATCAACAGCAACCACTAAGTGCATTGCTCCCCCTACTACTTTGACAAAGGGGTCCAGGAGGTCTATTCCCCATTGAGCAAAAGGCTAGGGTGCAATCATGCTGGTGAGTTCTTCAGTTGGCTAATGAGTGAGATGGGCAAAGAGCTTACATTTCTAACACCTCTGCACAAACTTCTTTGCATCCTCTTGCATGTTGGGTCAATAGTATCCTTGCCGAAGTACCTTATGGGTTAGAGTCCGAGCTCCTACGTGACTCTCACCCCTTATGTACTTCTCTTAGTGCATACTCAGCTTCATATGGCGTTAGGCACCTGAGGAGAGGTAATGAATAGGGTCTCTTGTACAAACATCACCAACCAGAGTGTACTGGGAGGCTTTTTTTCGTAGTTTCATCTCTTCCTGTTTGTCCCCTAAGACGGTTCCTTTGAGGAGGTACGCTTTGATGGGATCCGTCCAACCGGGAGCTTCTGGATCAGTGTTGATTTCCATCACCCTCGACGTCTGGAAGCTTGGTTCATTCAGTATCTCAATGTACACAAATTTTACCTCCCCCGAGTTTTCAGACGCTAATTTTGACAAAGAATCTACATGCTCATTTTCTGCTCTTGAAATTTTTGTAAGTTGGAATTTCTTGAAGTGATTTTTCAGTTCCGAAACTGCAGTCACATACTTTGCCAGAGTGGGATCAATGACTTCGCACATGGAATTGATTTGGTTAACTACCAACTGTGAGTCACTGTAAATCTGCAGGCGCTTGACTTTGAGCTCGGCCACCAAACACAGTCCCAGGAGGAGGGCTTCGTACTCGGCCACGTTGTTTGTGGCCTCGAAATTGAATTTCAAAGCGTGTTCACTCCGGAAGCTGTCAGGCCTGGTTAGTACTGCTCCAACTCCTGAACCCTTGCTATTAAATGATCCATCGACATACAGGGTCCATGTTTTTGCCTCGATATTCGATCCCTCCTGATTGGAAGTGCATTCTACCACGAAATCTGCCAAAGCCTGAGCTCGGATTGCAGACCTTTGCTGGAATGCTATCTGAAACTCTCCCAGCTTTACTGCCCATTTGATGAGTCTCCTAGAGCATTATGGTCTCTACAAAATTTGTCTTAAAGGTTGATCAGTCATCACGATAATAGGGTGGGACTAGAAATATGGCCTCAACTTTCTTACAGTAACAACAATTGCTAGAGCTACTTTCTCTACTATTGAGTATCTCTGTTCGGCACCCTGTAGCACCTTGCTGGCATAGTATATTGGTTGCTATTGTTTCCCCATTTCCCTGACCAAGACAGAACTAACAGTAGTATCAGATATCCCGAGGTAAAGATAAAGAATTTCACCTTCCTGAGCCTTAGTCAGTAGAGGCGACGAGCTAAGGTAGGCTTTGAGCTCGTCAAAAGCTGCTTGACACTCAGTTGTCCAATTGAACTTTTGGGGTTTTTCCGTTTCGTCTTTCTGAGCTGCGGTTCTCAAGACCTTAAAGAAAGGCAAACACTTATCCACTGATTTAGAGATGAATTTGTGCAGAGCTGCTACCCTCCCTGCTAGGCGTTGCACATCCTTGGTTGACCTCGGTGGTTTCATCTCCTCTATTGCTTTTATCTTCTCAGGGTTGACCTCTATCCCCCTTCTAGAAACCATAAAACCTAGAAACTTGCTTGGTTCAACGCCGAAAGTGCACTTCTTTGGATTCAACTTCATGCTGTATCTTCTAAGATTGTTGAATGTCTCAGCCAGGTCAGTCAAGTGGTCTTCTGCTCGAGAACTTTTGACTACAATGTCGTCTACATAAACTTCTAGGTTTCTATCGATCTCAGCTCAGAACACAATTGTGACCATTTTTTGATATGTTGCTCCTGCATTTTTTAGCCCAAACGACATCATCACATTACAGTAAATTTCATCTTCGGCATAAAATGAGGTTTTCACCTCATCTTCGAGTGCCATACGAACTTGATGATATCCTAAATAGGCATCCAAGAGACTTAAACTCTCATTCCTTGAGGCGGCCTCTACTAGCTTGCCTATGTTAGGCATAGGATGACAGTCTTTAGGGCATGCATCATTGAGATTGGTCTAATCGATGCACATGCGCCACTTGCCATTCAAATTTTTTACCATAACAGGATTGGCGACCCATTCGCAGCAATCTACCCTCCTGACGAACCCAACCTGCAACAGCTTCTACACTTCTTCTCCGATAGCTTGCAGTCTGTCTCCTACGAACAGGCGCCTCTCTTGAGCTACCGGTTTCTTTAGAGGGTTGGTGCTTAATTTGTGCACCACAACTGAGGTCGGGATGCCAGGCATGTCGGCTGAGGTCCAGCTGAACATGTCTTTATTTGCTTTCAGGAAGCTGATGAGCTCCTCTCTTTCTTCTGGTTTGAGTCTCGTCCTTATCTGTGTCTTTCTGTTGGGGTCATTGTCGTCTATCTGCACCTCTTCTGTTTTTTCCACCGACGCAGCTCTGGCTTTGTCATCCAGTCTGTTATTTGGTAGCTTCACAACCATTACTTGTTGGGTACTAGGTGCCTCTGGTTGCACCAGTAATTGTAATAGCTCTTTATCCTTCCGAGGTCGGCTGACCGATGTCATGTAACAGTGTCTGGCCACTTCTTGGTTTCCCCTCAGAGTTGCAATGCCCATAGGTGTAGGGAATTTCATGCATAGATGGGCTTGCGAGACAATGGCTCGGATTTCTATTAGGGTGGGCCTTCCTACTACAATGTTGAAAGAGGAGGCCATTTTCACCACTAGGAACTGGACTGATGGGGTGACGTACGTTCAGCCTAAACCGAAAGCCATGTTGATCTTCAGTACCCCTTCAACAGGAACTGGCTGATTGTTGAAGCCGTAGATGGGTCCATCATATTTCTGCAAGAGAGCGGGATCGAGGCCAAGGCTCTCAAAGCAGTGATAGTACATTATGTCCAGGGCACTTCCAATGTCGACAAGGACACGATGGATTTCACAATTATTAATGATGGCTGTTGTGACCAACGGGTCGTTATGGGGTGTGGCGACGCTGCCGAGGTTAGCAAGGTGAAAGTTATGGGTTGGTCTTTCCACCCTTCGTCATCGAGCTTTTTTTTCTGAGCTTGGTTCTAATGTCTAACCTACCTTACATAGAGTTTTTGTTGCTTTGAGCTCGTCCCTCCTGCCTCCAGCCCCCCATTTATCATATGAATGATCTTGGCTGGGGTGGGGAGTGGAGGTAGAGGTTGTTGGTAGTCGATCCTCGTCTTGTTACTAGCACCTTGGGGCCCTTGGGAGTTTGGGCGTTGTTCCCTTATGAATCTTGGATGATCTTTCTTGGGGATGAATTCATTCAACATCCCCTTCCATGCCAAGCTTTCGAGCTCAGACTTCAGCATGTGGCACGCCTTTGTGGTATGGCCATGGCCCTGGTGGTAGTCGCAGTACTTAGTATGGTCTTTGGAAGTGGGTAAGCTCCGTATGGGCGGAGGCCTTCTGAGATCCATTTTGTTTGTTATTTGCATGAAGATCTACAACCTTGGTAGTGTAAAAGCAGTCCAAGTGGGTTGCCTCCCCGTGGCCTGCGAGGTACTCACACCAGGCTTGTCAACCTTGGTTGGGAATGGACCTCGGTTCTGACTGGCTTTGAACTTCTTCTTGTTCGGCCCTTCCTCTCTCCGTGTGCTGCTATTGTCCTTGATGGCTGAGGGCTTTTGTGACAACACATATTCTTCCGTAGTGATGAAATTGCAAGATCTATTATTGACTTCTTCAAATGAAGTAGGAGGTGTTTGATCAGGCTGTTTCGAAATCGCTCATGGGTAAGCCCTTGGGTGATGGCAGCGATTCCCACAGCTTGGTCAAACGAATCAATCTCCAGCACAGCATCGTTGAACCTGTTTATATAGTTCTTTAGAGATTCTCCTTCTCTTTGGGCCACCCGCATAAGCTTTGCTGTTGTTTTCTTAATCAGCCTTCGACTGGAAAACTTGGTTACGAAAGCTGTTGCCATCTCGACATATGAACTGATCGAGTTTGGTTTCAAGCTGTAATACCAGGTTCGAGCATTACCATGTAATGTGGATGGGAATATTTTGCATATAAGGGTGTCCGAGGCATTCTGAGCTTGCATGACAGAATAGAAGGCGTGCAGGTGGTCATCAGGGTCCTTAGTTTCGTCATATGTCTCGAACTGGGGCATTTTGAAGCCAGATGGGTATGGTTCCTGGACAATGTTGGTGTTAAGGGGAGTGGATTCGGGGGTCGAGCTAGTTTGGGCAGGGGCTGCAGCTCTGTTTTTGGCCATCATCCTTTCGAGGTTATCTAACCTTTTGGAAACATCTGAGGCCATTGGTTGGGGTGGATTAGGGGGCGGGGGTGGAATGTGAAATTGTAATTGGGAGGCATTCTTTGCGGACGCAGCACTTTGGACGGGGGAGTTAATAGGCTGCTGATGTTGATGAGGGATTGTGGGATGAGCTGGGTTTAGTAAGTTGATGAGAGGGTCATCAGGGTTGTTTTTGGCTAAGACTTGTGCAAGTACCAGCTGGAATACTCCGAATTGTTACTGCATGGTATTGAGTTGGGTGGTTATGAGGTCATTGGGGGTAACGGCTAGGTGTTGTGGGTCGTGTTCTCTTGTTTTTTTTGCCTGTTGGCGTTGAGCAGCAGCAGGTGGTGCGTTCTGGAATATAGGGTTGGGATTCAGGGAATGGTCTCTTCTGCCTCCTCGAGACTGGCTTTCATGCTGAGTCGAACACGTGTGAACCATCTTACCTTTGTTTTCTTCAGGACTTCTTGTTTAGATTCCCACAGACAGCGCCAATGTTGTTGCTGAAAAACCTTCAAGACCTTGCTTCAGTGTGATTCTTTTCTAAGTGGTCTTGCAAAATCCTGAGGTTAGTCCTCGGGGAGAAACTCCGATGCTTAAGTCAGTATTTTTCTAATGAATGTTCTCCTTTTTGTTCCGTCTATTTATTGTACCTTGTGGGCTTTGTTCATCTTGGCAAGGAACCCACGTGGCTTGTCCGCACCCACGTGGCCTAGTCAACCCAATAATGGTGACATGGTATGCCTGACGGAGTAGACGTTTTAGGTGAATGTAACATGCCTTAATGGAGCAATTGCATTAAAGGCACGTGGTGCATTCTGACGGAGCAGGTCCCTTGAGAAAGGGTGCTTAGGTAAAGACAAATGATCAGGTGAAGGCATGCTTATTGTGATTGCCATGTACTTACGACGAAGAGTCGAGGTGCGGTGGGCTCTGAGCTCTGCAGTCGAGGTGCGATAGGCCCTGAGCTCTACCCTGCGTCTCGTATAACTGCCCTTACAATACTGACTATATCATTTCTTTTAAATGTTAATACCTATATTTGGAAACCAAAAACTTAAATAAAAATTTAGAAATCTATTTTATTAAATAATGATGCATAAATTTGGAAACTGTTGTATTTTGGTTGTTATATATGACCACTACTTAATGATTCTCATATATGTTTGATGAATAATTGTTCTTTTATTTTTTGGCCCAATCGATGAATAATTTTTAGAAAACCTATTTAGGGTCTTTTTGGAGCTTCAAATAGATTTTCTCAATATGACATCTCATCGTTATGATTGTAAAAAAAGCATGTAAAAGAATAGTGCCATGATAAATGTCACATAAATTTCTCAATCTGACATGACTTTGGCTCAAAATTTCTTTTACTTAAGTGATTACTTTTCTTTTTCTTTTGTCAAATTATCTTTTGTCAAATTATTGTACACACTTACTAAATCTTTTTTTTTTTTTTTTATGAAAATTGCATAGGTGCATATTTTATTTCATTAAAACAGGGAACTTACTATGCATCTAGATTAAGGCATTTCCTTTGTTACAATATGCATAAGAAAAGATGGCACTTCTGTTATCCAGTGCTTATCATCCTCAACATGTAGAGCCCACCGTGCTAGGTCATGAGCCACTGAATTGCCTTTATAACGGATGAATTGGACATGACAGTCAATAATAGAGGCCATACGCAATTTGCAATCTGATAGGACAGTTCCCAAGCTAGAGTTTATAGCAGAAAAGTGAGAGTTCATAGATGTCACTAAGCTTGCACAATCTGATTCCATAATCACCTTTTCAAAAGAGAGTTCACGAGCTTATTGTAAAGCTTTGTGCAAATAGCATGCCTTAACAATCTCCACGCACATAGCCCCCTGACCTCTGCACGACATGGCTACCACCACTTCCCCCAAGCTGTTCTGTGCAACGACACCCATGCCATAAGCTCGCTAGTGAGCTGAAGCCCCATCAATATTTATCTTCACATGATCTCCACCTGGAGGGGTCTTCATCTCGTTTCCATCCTTTGGGATGCCAAAGGCCCTCTACCCATAAGGCCAATCTATGAATCTTAAACTCTGTTCAATGATAAATTGTGGGCTGGGGATCTTATCATTCCATAGTGCATTCTTCTTGGAGCTCCATATTTTCCTACAGATCGCATAGAGGAGTTCAAGCTATTCCTTTTGCAAAAGGTCCAGCATATGGTCAAGGAAACTAGCAAAATTATCCCCATTAAAAATTGAGATTCGGAGATTAAGCAGGCAACCCATTCAAACCGCATGGCTGCTCATACAAGCCACTAGACAATGAAACACAGATTTCTGCTCCATGCCACACATAAGACAGTCAAGATTGGCCTCAACTCAACGGCACTTAAGATTATCCTTTGTGGGGAGAATATTCTTATAGGCTTGCCAAATCATCAAGCAAACCTTCTCAGGGATATCAAGACTCCAAAGAAGACCACCCTTGAAGCTTGAGGATGGAGAGGGGCCTTCATGAGACCCACCCATGGCCATTGCATGGTGATAACCAAAGCGATGGAGTAAGTACCCTACCGTGTAAAATTCCACGTCTAGCCATCTTCTCGTCGCACCCAACTCAGAGGCATGGACAAGATAAGCTGGGCCTCATGAGTATTAAAAGTTTCTCGAATTAAATCATGCTTCTAGAAGTGAGAATCATCATCAATAAGATCACATACATAGTGAAGCTCGCAATCGATTGGACAGGGTGTGACTAGAAAGCCAGGGATCATTCCATATATCTGTAAAGTGCCCATCACCAATCAACCTTTTATACCATAGTTTCAGAAGAGTAGTAGTAGAGCAGATACTCCACCATGTAAAATACAAAAAGGCTTCAACTCTACATGCAAAAAATCTGACTGGGGATAATATTTAGCCTTCAACAATCGAGCAACCAGTGATTCTGGATTGACGAGTGAGTGCCAGCCTTGCTTACCGAGAATAGCTAAATTGAATTTGTGGAGAGCTCAGAAGCCTAATCCTCCCATTTTCTTTGAAATTACAAGCTTTCTCCATTCCATCTAGTGGATCTTATGATCACCTTCACCCCCACCCCACCGGTATCTATTCATAACCCTCTCCAAATCTGTACAAAGACTCAAAGGAAGAAGAAATATTCCCATGAGGTACATGGGGAGAGCTTGTAAGACTGACTTGATGAGAACCTCTCTGCCAACCTTAAAGAGGGGTTACTCTCGCCAATCATCTACACAGGCCCAGATTTTACTCTTTAGATCAGAAAATGCTGCTAATTTTGCTCTGCTAACATAGGCTAGGAAACCAAGATATCTACCTGGAGAGCTCAACTCCTTCATATCAAGAATTCGCTTAGTTTTATCACCATTTAGTAGTTGAATTATTATAGATGTCTAAAAATTAATGTGTTGTGTACAATGGTTGGAGTTTAACTTTGAGGCAATTGTTAAGGGATTCAATATTGATCAAGAATGGTGTTATGTGGCACGTAGAAAATGCACTAGAAGGTTACCTCCACTTAAAACACACAGAAGCCGCCAAAATTATTCACTGCCACCATCTCAAATCATGCCACGGTAAATTTTATATCCCACATTTAATACAATAATTTCTAATTTATTTTACACATTACATGTATTAAATAGCTCAAATAAAGGGAATTAATCTTTAATTATTTTATGAACTAAATAACTAGTATACCTCTTTTTTTGAAATAAAAATTTATAAACCAAGGGGAGGGATAAAGTTAGAGATACAAAAAGTATAGTAGACATTTTCCCATTCATAGTAGCTGAGCATTTTTTATTTAGCTTAGATGTGTCTGTCCCAAATTCAAAACCATTTTCTTTTCTCCATTTCAAAAAAATAAATTTTTTTCTTCTCTTATACATAAGGTTTCTGATTATGGAAATTGAGCTTCATGGATTAGCTATTTTGCAATGGCCTATTTGTGTAGATTCACTATGCGGGCACATATATATATTCTATTGATCTACAACTTGTCGAGTGAGGAGGTGTAGGAAAAGGTGGCTCATACCAAAGTGGATACAACCGGCAAACCAAATAAGGAAAGTGGTAATGGCACAAAAAAGGTAATACTTTATAAATATATGCACACAAATTAATTCTTGCATGCTCATTATTAATTATTTGTTCACTTTATCTATGTATAGGTGTGGGGTGAAACTTGGGAGCAACAAAAAGGACAACAAAGACTGTTATTATTATTTAAGTTACCTTCTATATATTTGCAATTTAGTTATTTCTTAGACATTTAAATTAATATTGTTGTGTGTTGCATATTGCTTTGATAGCAAAAGCTACTGTTGCGAATTTCAGTTTTAAGTAAATGAACTTTTATCTTTGGACACTACTCTTCTACGTGGAAAGGAATGCCTTCTTGCGTCAAATTAAGATTTAGCTTAAATTAAATAAGAAAATTTACGCACTAGAAATTATTGAAAAAAAAAAAAGGCATTTTGGCAAATAACGTAATTGAATTCATTCATTCTCTACTAATCTAAAAATTGTGTGCATTTTAATCCCCAAAAATACCTAATTCTTCGTTTTCTAAAGCCCCAAATTCCGTCCTTTTAAAGTACAACATGGCCCATTTTGTCATTGGGCCTTTCACTTTCCAAGATTACTTCACTAATGTTGGCTTCTTGATTGTGTATGTTCCTAAACTACTCAATTCCAGGTTCTACAACTGTTATTTTGAAATAACCAGTAATTACTCTTACCTGTTGGAATTTTCTCTTTAGGATTCAATCTTTCTGCCTAATTCATGTCTACTATCGATTTCATGGCTTCTTTACTATTTGATCATTTGATTCTTACAGTTTTAGCATATCTCAGAGATAAGTTGATGAAGCTGCAAATACTTTAGGGCATGTTTTTGAGAGGTCAAGGGGAAAGGGAAAGTAAAAGAATAATTTATTTTTAGTAACTGTTCATAAAGCTACAGTTAACTTTTCTAATAGTTTCTTTTCATGATCATGTCTACTTTGTTCCATGATCCATTTGATTCTTTTTTTTTTTTTTTTGACATTCTTTAACTTCTTCTTGAATTAATGATTTTTAAATATGATCAAATGATCCATTAGCAAAGCATAGGATGCGAAGGTTATGGCTTTAATGGAAAACTTCATTTTGCATTACTGCTTTATTATTTTTTTCATCTTTTAGCATTCTGCATTTTATTTTTGTAACTAAGAATTAGAGGGCTTTTGATCCACCTTGAATAAATTGAATTTTGCTAGAAAAGAGAAATTGGTTTTTCCATAAAAAAAAAAAAAAAAAA